GGCTGTATACGGGGCAGTGGAGGGGGGGTTGGCGGGTAGGGTGGGGCTGTCGGGTAGGGGCTGTTGTAGGGGGTGTTTTGGCCGTGGGGTGCACTAGCATACGTGTAGGGGGTAGTGAGATGGGCTTGGGGGTAGGGGTTATGTGGGTAAGGGTTGGGGCGAGGACCAAGAAGGCCTGGGTTTGGGTTCGGGTTGGTGAACTGTTCAGTAAGCTGCCCGTGGGTGTGCCGTGCATTTGACCCGGAGCTTCAGCCGCGATCACGACCCCGCTACTGGCCACCACGCTGTCGGATGTGCTGCGGCTGTCCAGGACCACCTCCACCACTGGAATCTGCTCGACCTCCACTGGTGCTGCCATAGCGCCGTGAGGCGCCACTGCCGGGACCCCCACTGCCGGCGTAAAGCACCGTTCCACCGTCCCCCGCGACGCCGCCGGTCCCCAATTCTTGCCGCTGTTGTTCAATGAGAAGGGCCGAGCGAGTTTGAAGAAAGGTTGGGGGCGGTGTTTGATATTGTAGGAACGAAGTTTGAGCCCGAAGGTCGTCCGGGAGGCCACGGAGGACTTGGAGAACAAGTTGTTATTCAGAAACTGAGGCATCCACATCATCCAACCAATCCGCGAGGTTGCGAAGGGTTTGACAATAGGCGGCCATAGAGAGAGAACCCTTCGTGGTTATGCGGAATTGGTGCTTGAGTGTCATCGCCCGAGCCGCTTTGTTGTCATGGAAGAGATTGTAGATCGATGTCCATAATTCGGAGGCGGAATTTGTGGTGGAGAGAACGAGATCACAGATCTCATCATTAACAGTAGACAAGATCCACCCTTGAATAAGGGCGTCAAGTTGAAACCATTCGGCGTCGTCGGTGCTTGACGGGGACGACTTGCCGGTGAGGAAGTCGCCGAGGGAGAACCAGCGGATGAGAAGAAGAAAGAGCCGGCTCCACTTCTTGTAGTTGGGCTCGGAAAAGCTGAGAAGGATCAGTACATGTAGCTTGACGTCTGAAATAGTTGTGAACGCCAGGTGGGGAGTCGGCGAGGATGACGACGTGCCGGTGACGGAGACTTTCTCAGACATGGTGGGGCGATGGAGATGGACTGCCGAGAGAGAGAATTGCCGTGAGAGAGAGAGAGAGCCTGCTGGAGAGGAGGCGGCGCTGCTGGGTGGACGCCGGTGACACTGGCTGCTGAGTTCGGCCGTGAGAGAGGGGGGAGTCGCTGCTAGGGTTGGCAACGGCACTAGGTCGAACGAGGGAGAGAAAGGAACGAAGGCTCTGATACCATGAAGAATTATTGATTTCAATGATTAATGACGGAGGACTAAGCCTCGTATAAATAGTACAAAGGAATCCTAACTAGGGAAGGAATCCTATACAAGGCAGTTACCATATTAACAATGATTACAACATTAATATTAAATATATATATATATATACTATATTTAACATTAATCCTTGCACCCATAATTATATTCCCAGTACTCGAACTAGAATATCTTAGGTATTTCTAATTCTCTTCGATTATTAGCCAACAATAAAGTCATATGAACAAATTTCAAAACAAATATGTCGACATGCTGCATTATTGATTCCAATGGAGCATTATTAACAAATCCTCTCATCTGGTGGCATGGCAGTCATGAAGGCCTTCCTTCTTCATTACTGCTCTTTGGCAAAATTTTGGACTAAATATTGACAGATATATATGAGATACTTCTCCCTACCCGGCGGCCCTTTAAAAAAAGTGAAATTTGCATTGAATAGGACTAAAACATAGGTCATTTCCTTATGTAGGACTTAAACTTTTTTATTCCCTAAATAGGACTTAATAATGACTAGTGAGAAGAATAATGTCCAAGTGATGTTGGACATTTAGTTGAATAATGACTAATAGATAATAACCAATGGTCCTACATTGGAAAATAAAAATATATAGTCCTATAGTAAGAAAGTCATTATGTTTTAGTCCTATTTAGATAAATTACTCTTAAAAAAAACTCATCAAACATTGTTTTCAATAATGTATGATTTGTGATGAAATTAATTAAGAAATATTTACACTAAATAACACTAAAACTTAAGTCATTTCCTAAATAGCACTTAACAATGTTCATAATGACCAGTGATGACAAATATTTATTTGAATAATGACTAATGAATAATGACTAAAAATGCTACATTAGGAAAAAAATGCATGCAATTTAGGAAAAGTTATTATGTTTTAGTGCTATTTACGTAAATTTCTCATTAATTAATCCTTATATATAGAACAAAATTAAAGGTTGCGTTAATTAATGTATGTATATGTGATTCCACAAAGATTATTAGTCTAGAGTAGAGATGAAGACAGAGAGAGTGTGTGTGTGTGTGGCTAGGCAACATAGGATTCCTCATGGATTATTCATTTTTTCTTTTTAATTTGTATGGTCACATGCAGAATCTGATGAGGTGTTGTGTGTTGCAGACAAAGAACACATGCATGGATTCCAAAATGGAATGCCATCCTCTTAGATATAGATTTGTGTCACAAAAAAAAAGAAAAAAAAAAGTGCTAAGGAGAATACTCAAGTTCGATTCCACATCTGCGGTAGATCCCTGCGAGTACCAAATGCATGCTCTATTCTATGTCATCAATCCACGATTAAAGTCTAATTTATATCTCCCAATTTTTTGTGTTTAATTAGAGTAGTATACGCTATTCTGATTCTCTCGATCGCCATCATAATAAATGCTCTGCCCCCCACCCCACCCCACCCCACCCCACTCCACACTCCCATTTTTTTCGACATTTCTTTCTGGACACACAGACCGTACGTAGTATTTATTCACTGTCTTGCGGCTATTTAAATACTCCGTATCATACAGAGTATTTTTTTTTTTTTTTTGAAGTTTTATGCCCTACATTAGTCTCTTATTTATCCTGTCAACAAGTACATTTGTATATTGTCCCCCCCCCGCCAAATAAATAAAATAAATGCATATTAAATTGTTACATTTTCACAGGAAGTAAAATGATACTCCCTCAGTTCAAAAAAAGAAAGTCATGTTTCAGTTCTTGCGCATCCTATAAAATACTTCTATCTCATCTCAAATGTCAAAAAAAAATTTAAAACAACTTCTACCCATAATAAAGGGTCAATGTGATAAATTTAAGGCATCTTAGATATAGGTAAATTTTAAGCATTTTAGATATAGATAAATGTGAGCATCTTAGATAACACCTCGGCCACCACACTGTGCCCGGGAAACTTCCCAGTGGTCGCCTATTTTAAAATTGATCAAAATCCAGCACGTTTAATGAGCTTGGTCATATATGCCCTTATTAGCAACACGTGACAAATATGGTCATTACAACCAAGTGTTGGATGATGACTGATTATTTCAATGATGATTCAAATTATTTTTAAAAATGTCTTATTCTACTTGAATTATGTAATATGTCATTTTTCTTAAAGATAAAATTAAACATTTTAGAACTTTCGATAGCCAAATGTGAGAGTAGATATAACTGGTCCTATATTAAGAGAAAATTAAAGTGATATGTTTAAGTCCTATTTGCCTATATTACCTATGAATAAATAAATAAATAAATAAACATAAATAAATAAAGAAGTATAAATAAATAAATATCACGTAAATAAATGGGGAGTACGTATATTAGAAGAAGTAGGGGCGAAGGTACGTTGTTGGTGGATATATTCCGATTCTCAAGTTATCCCTTTCTTTTAAGAAAGATCAATCATTTCAAAGGGACTTATTGTTAAAATTCCGGCGGGCCGATAACAACGGATAGAGTGTCGGGTAAAATTAACCACTTGCATATAAAGTCGGGATCCACAATTCTAACCCAAAAGCTTAAACTGATAGGTAGGGCTTCACCCTTCAATATGTGCAAGTGATACTCATCTTTATTTTCTGATGTGGGAACTCCAACACTCCCCCGCAAGTGGTAACTAGCCTGGCCTAGTTAGCACTTGGACAAACGAGTCTAGCATCTCAATCTCTTATACCTAGCCCACACAACGGGCGGTGGCATCTCAATCTCTTTTTAGCCAACTCAGCCCAAACCGGGGTAGCTCAATTTTGCTAAACCCACATCCAAACAACCAGGAACAATCAAACCCGGACCGGACCTGCTCCGATACCATGTTAAAATTCCGGCGGGCCGATAACAACGGATAGAGTGTCGGGTAAAATTAACCACTTGCATATAAAGTCGGGATCCACAATTCTAACCCAAAAGCTTAAGCTGATAGGTAGGGTTTCACCCTTCAATATATGCAAGTGATACTCATCTTTATTTTCTGATGTGGGAACTCCAACACTTATTAACATTCCACTCCAAGTTAATTATACTATATGTAGGAAAAAGAATGAAGCTATATAAGAATACTAAAAATTAAAGAAAGAAAGTGGATAAAAGGCTATATTTGATGATCTGTTTAATTTGTTTGGCTTCTTCACCAAAGCAAAGCAAAGCAAAACTTGACGGATAATCAATCCAACGGAATAAAGTAAAATTGCAGTTAGATCATCATCTATAGCTAGCTAAGACCGAACTTGTTAAAGAGCATCCCACATCAGAAAAGTGTGAGGAAATTAATCGGTATATAAGCTCTTGAGTTGAACTAACGTACTAATAGATTGGATTCAATCTTTTAATGTGGTTCAGCCCGAGCGTCTTATTGCCCAATCTAGTTGTCCATACCCATCCTAAATTCTACATGGTATCGGAGCAGGTTTTGGCCCACCTCATTTGTCAAGGAAAAGTCAAGGGAATGAGAGTTCATTTGCAAGTGGTCAACCGGTTAGATTCAAAATGGCCTGGTTGTCCACTTGAGGGGGAGTGTTAAAGAGCATCCCACATCGGAAAAGTGTGAGGAAATTAATCGGTATATAAGTTCTTGAGTTGAACTAACTAATAGATTGGATTCAATCTTTTAATGTGGTTCAGCCCGAGCGTCCCGTCTTATTGCCCAATCCAGTTGTCCATACCCATCCTAAATTCTATCAGAACTACACTCTTGTTGCCTCCCTTTAATTTGCACCATTGCAAACACTGCCCCAGCTAGAAATGAACGTCTAGACAGAAACGATGACATACGGGGTGGGCTAAAAGACTGGTCATAAGAGATTTGATTTGAATCGCATTAATAAATTGAATCCAATCAATTAACTAGTTCAACTCAGAAGCTTATAGATTTGTTAAAATGAAAAACTACTTTATGATTAATATTGATTTTAACAAGTAAAAAGTAAGTGTGGCATGAGTGTGAGTCACACAAATATTACTATGATCTCAGACAAAACTATATTCACATAGAAAAATAAAAAGAGATAAAAAAACATAAAAAAAGAATAGTATAAATTATTTAAATAAAATATGTAATTCATTATACCCCTTCGTCCCATATCTTTCTTCGCGTTGCACAAAACGATGAAAAATCCCAAATTTTTTGATCTATTTTATTGAAATGTTAGTATAGGCATAAAAAAAGAAACTTGCATATTTAAAAACTACAGTTAGATTTCAACAAAACAAGTGGTGACGAGAATATTTTATTTTATCATATAGACAATGAAAAACGCAAATAAGTAAAAATTCCCGTGAAGTTGGAATAGCGCATTGCGAAGAATGCCATGAGACGAGAGAGTGTTTAATAATTATTTCAACATTTCTTTTTTTTTTTAACTTCTTCCAACACCTTCGGTGTCATTGTGTTTTTGAGACATTTTTTGTAAAATTACTAATTCCTATTCTTTGACCCTCCACTCCAACCCCATGCCTCATCTCCCTTCTTTGCCGATTAGCTACAAATTAAAATTTCTTGTAGCAAATCGACAATAAAGGGAGTGAGATAAAGGGACTAAGATGGGGATTATCATGAACTTTACAAACGAAGCATCGTAGATACATCAATTAAAATTGTTATCATCCAATGTCATTCAAAATTTTCAAAGTGAGCAGCATCCCTGTAACATATCGGCCACCACCTCGCGCCCAGGAAACTTCCAAGGGGTTACTTATTTTAACATTGATCAAAATCCAGCATGTTTAATTTTAGAGTTTCTAAGTGATGATCTCTCAAAAAAAGATGTCTTGTTAGTATGAGTAGTACTATCAATCCTTTTTGAGTTCGTTCCATTCCATGTTAAACCAAGGTATTCCACTTCTCACCCTCGACCTAGAATATGCTGGATGGACCCCACACCACGACCCGACGAGGTATGCATAAGGAGGTAAATCAAGAATCTAACGACCTATTTTAAGGGGGAGACCAACCCCACAAACATGAAATGAGCCCATTCTTGTAGCCCAAAATGGTTTCAGAATATAACTAGCTCCCACACTACACGCCACGGGGAATCGACTTTTGCGCATGCTGCAAATATGCCCCTTCTGTAACCAACTTGCCTGGTATGACCTGCGGGCAAAACTTTGGAGGATAATTTTTTTATTTATAAAAGTCGGCACACCGCATTGCATCCCCACCACAAGAAACCCTGACTTCCAACTTGGACCTACGATGAAAGTAAGCCTTTTTTGTTGGTAGCTAGGGTTACTCGAACTCAATATTTTCCATATATTTTATTTAATTATAGGTCAAAAAATTGAAAATATTTGACTGAAAAGAATTAAAACTACACAAATACGTACTCTAGAACCAATATACTCCCTCTGTCCCTCATAGATCTTCTCATTAGCCCTTTTTATTTGTCCATCATAGATCATCTCATTACCTTTTTTAACAATTAAAATACCACAACTACCCTCACTTACTATTAGCTTTCCATGCCGCAAGTTCTTGTTCATCGGTTGGCCTTGGAAAACCGGTTGGAGTCAAGAAGCCGGCACGGCTTCGTCCTTCCAAGGCGTTGACGATTGTTTTCTCCCAAACGTCATAATTGTCTCCCTTGAGAACGTGTTTCGTCAGGGAGTTCCCGACACTTTCGGATGGGTGTAGTAGTATAACGATGTGGGATCGTGGATCAAACGAACCTTTTTGGTAGCCTCGGCAGACATGCTGGACACAGTTGGAACCCTGCAGCGGAAGAAGTGGAAGTAGGGCAGCGGCGAAGCAGTCAAACCAGAACAAAAACACCCAAATATGCCTTGGATATTCTTCACGAAGCTAGCCTGGTTGATTGTAAACCAGCGGAAACTCCCATTGTGCCAAACCATGACCTGGCGCGATCTACTAGCGCAGAACTTCGGAATCCGGCTCAGTATCGTCGGCTTGTTGGGCGGCTGATTTATCTTACTATCACACGGCCAGATCTCTCTTACTCTGTTCATATTCTGTCCCAGTTTATGCATGCTCCCCGGCTCGCCCATATGGATGCCGCACGGCGAGTGCTCCGGTCATTTAAAGGGCCACCCTGGTCAAGGTATTTTGCTTCGAAGTGACTGCTCTCTTCAGCTTACAGCATACTGCGATTCAGATTGGGCCTCTTGTCCTCTTACTCGCCGTTCAGTCAGTGGTTATTTCATCCTTCTTGGTACTTCTCCCGTTTCATGGAAGACAAAGAAGCAAACCACAGTTTCACGCTCATCTGCAGAAGCTGAATACAGAGCCATGGCCAACGCCTGTGAAGAGGTGCGTTGGATTCGGGGAATTCTTGGGGCACTTGGAGTGATGCCTCCCATGGTACCACGTCTGTTCTGCGATAACAAGTTTGCATTGTTCATTGCTGCGAATCCCGTTTTTCATGAACGCATGAAGCACATTGATATTGATTGTCATATTGTTCGTGAGTGTATTCAGCGTCGGGAAATTTCAACGGCCTATGTTCCTACGCGTCTGCAACTGGCAGATCTATTTACCAAAGGCCTGAATCGACCATTGTTCTCTTTTTTATTGTCCAAGTTGGGCATTCGTGATCTCCACGCTCCAACTTGAGGGGGAGTATTAGCGTATATATTTTGTACATATTTACTCGTGCATCTCGTTGTACGGGCCAAGCCCAATAGTAACGTAAGTAGCCCTAGTCTCGTAGTAACTTGTATTTATACGTTTACGTATTCTCAATGAAAGGCATCAAAAGTTTTTCCCTAAATTTCTATCATGGTATCAGAGCCTGGTTTTGGCCCACCTCGTTTGTCAAGGTGTCCATCTAGACGTTCATTCCTAGCGGCCCGTTTGTCTTTAGCCCAGTTGTCCGTGTGGAGTATGTATCCAACGTCATGTGGCCCGTTTAACACGATTGCTCGTCTGGAAGTCCATACCTAGCGGCTTGTGGTCCTTTAGGTGTTGGCGCTCATAAAAAAAGTCAAGGGAATGGGAGTTCATTTGCAAGTGGTCAACCGGTTAGATTCAAAATGACCCGGTTGTCCACTTGAGGGGGAGTGTTAGAGTACATCCCACATCGGAAAATCCAAGAGTAAAATAATCGGTATATAAGCTCTAGAGTTGAACTAACTAATCGATTGGATTCAATCTTTTAATGTGGTTCAGCCCAAGTGTCTTGTTGCCCAATCCAGTTGTCTCTACCCAATCCCAAATTCTATCACTTACTTTATTTATTACACCTCATCTAGCTCATTTAATACACTTCATCCATTTTCATTAAGGATATTATGGTAAACTTTTGCCTTTTTCAACTCTCTTTAAAATCTACAAAAAGTCAAAACGAGAAAATCTTAGGGGACGGAGAGAGTAGTAAATAAGCGAAAATAATTTTTTTTTGCTCATAGAATGACTCGAACTCAATACTCATTCTAAGTTTTCTAACTCGACCTAGAATATAAAATATAAATTACACGATAGGGAGATATGGTTGGTGGTCGGGAAATTTAATGCGCTTTCACAGGTTAAGGGTATCCTATGCACGTCCGGTCCATACACACATATATATCGAATCAATAATCAAATAATACTATGATTGTGTTGTACCATGAGCTATATAAGGGAAATGCTTGGTTCAGAAACACAACGGTCACAAACATCACAAATTTACTATTTGTGAACTTTAATGAAAAAAATTAAATGGCCTAAAGTGATTTCAAAATAAAATTTTAAATCATAAATAATAAGTTTGTGAAGTTTGTGAGTATTCTGTTAGTGAATCTAGCATTGTTCGCTATATAAATCCACTGTACACACAACTATGTGTGTGGATAAAATTTGACTGCATTAAAATTGTCACCATGCATTTGAATTTGTGCGGGGTCACTGTAAACAATAGACAAGGTAAATTCGATCGAATCCACCCCATCCTAAAATTAAAGTTCAACCATTTCCTTCTCAAAAATCTTGTCACTAGTATTTTTTATGCGATACATTGGGTTAAATGAAATTTTGTTTAATTTTATATTTTTTTCATATTTTTCTTAGACTCTTTTTTAAATGAAATATTTGCGCTAAATGGCACCAAAAGTCAAGTCATTTCCCTAAATAGCACTTAAATTGTTTTATTCCCTAAATAGCACTTAATAATGTCCAAAATGTCCAGTGATGACGAATATTTGCTTGAATAATGACTAATGCATAATGACTAAAAGTGCTACATTAGGAAGAAAAACACATATAGTACTATTTAGAGAAAGTCATTATGTTTTAGTGCTATTTAAGTAAATTCCTCTTTTTAAATTCTTATTCTAAGAATCCGTTTGGTTGGTAGAAAAAAGTTATTCTTCTCTAAAATTTTAATTATATTTTTCTGCTTTTGGTTACATAAGTGATAGAAAATCATTATTCAGGAGGAGAAAATTATCTAAATTTATTTTGGATTATTAGGAAGTATAATTAAATTAGGATGCTTCTTTCCTTTCCTACTAGGATTATTCTTTCCTTTCCTACTTGTACTTTGATTACTCTTGTATTCCCTATATATAGGGTCATATCTCTCAATATTCAATAAGACAAGTTATTATCAAATTGTATCATGGTATCAGAGCTAAGGCTCTCAAAAACCTAGCCTCTCTTTTTTTTCCGACCGCCGCCCACCATGGCAGCCCCGTCGGATCCTTTGGCGTCCTTACCCTCCGGAGTAAAACTTTTGCTTCGGAGTCTCCACAACTTAATCCCAGAAAAACTCACCGAAACAAATTATCTGGCATGGTCTCTCAATGTCCAAACAGCTCTTTCAGCTAATCTTCTCCTTGGATGGATTGATGGTCATGAAGCAGCCCCGGCGCCAACTATCTCCAAAAACGATAAAACCGTCCCTAATCCAGAGTATACCTCCTGGACCATCGTTGACACACAGATCCGCGCCTGCCTCCTAGCGGTCATCAGCCCCTCCGTTCACAAACATGCTCGCGGCTTCACCACATCTGCTGCCCTCTGGGATGCTTTGGCCGCACGGTACAACTCCGTGTCCACCGCTCATGTTTATCAGCTTCGGGACAAACTCCACACTCTTCGTAAAGGTACCAAAACTATGACACAATACCTTGATGATGTGGCAACTATTCTCTCGGATCTCGATGCCTTGAAAGAAGAGATCCCTGAACGTGATGTGGTGAATG